AAATGCTTATAAATTTTTACATGGGCAAGTGAGGTTTTAAATTATTAGTTTGCAAATCTAAGAGTTGTTGAATGAACCTGAGAAAAATTAACATTTAATCTCTAACAGAAATTATCTATAGCTCACCCCGATCATGTTAAATGTATGTTTTAAATATCTATTTGTGAAAAATATTCACAAGAGTATATATAACTATTTTACTTTGGAAAGATATAATAATAAGTAGATGTCAAGTTCATTTTAATTATTAAGTGAAGTACATTATTAATTTAGAATTTGCATTAATTAGTTCCTTTTTCATGTTGATTAGAAATAAAATAAAGGTAAAAACATGTTGACTCAAAGATAATGTGACAGAAAGTCTGAACTAGTTGGATAATACAGGAAACAGCAGTAATATACATCTGTAATTTGTGAAACCCTAAATTTGAGTGTAAATAAAAAGTGATTATATCATTAATCTGAATGGAATTCTTCATTAATTTATATATGTATAGTATGTAAACACACTGGAAATTCAATGGTGAATTTAAAGATGTGTCTTTAAATATCTTACAGTTGAGGAAAGAAATAAGTGAGTAAAGCAGTGGAATGTGATGATGTATTTGGATGAAAATAAGAACAAAAGCATTTATGGAGGCCATTTGATTCAGGCCTTGTAATAGTTGTGAAAACCCCTGGTGGTGCAGTGGTTAAGCGTTTGCTAACTGAAAGGTCAAACTCCACAGGAGAAGGATGTGCCAGTTTGCTTCCATAAAGATTCTAGTCTTGGAAATCTATGTGGCAGTTCTACTCTGTCTTGCAAGGTCGCTGTGAGTGGGAATCAACTTGAAAGCAACTGGTAGTGGTGGTGAATACTTGTTGATAATACTCACTTTAAATTTTAAATAGAACCATGTTTTTATGTTCCTTATATATTTTAAATAACAGTCTTTTCAGAATACTTGGTCGTATTTATGGGGTGATTTCAAGAAACCATAGTAGCATATCTCCCCTATACCTCACTCCCAAGAAAAACTCCCATCTATATCTCTTGATCATTTCTTGGGATTCCAAAAGTATTTTACTGTTCTACCTATTAAATGCAAATAACCCTGTTAGGTAGTCCATTTGATATTATAAACAATTTATCCTTGATTTATTTATGAGCCAGTTCTACTGATGGTCAATATTTAATGTGAGTAAAATAATGAGAATATATTGATTTATTTTTTTCTTTTAGTTCTTTCCATTTCTCTTTATGTTGTTGTTGTTATGTGCCGTCGAGTCGGACCCAACTCATAGTGACCCCTTCTTGGGTTTCCGAGGCAGTATCACTATGGAAGTAGATTGCCCCATCTTCCTTCTGAGGAGTGGCTGGTGGATTTGAACCACCAGCCTTCTGGTTAGCAGTCAAGTGTTTTAGCCACTATGCTACCAGAGCTCCCATTTCTGTTTATATAACTATAAATGTTTCCAAGGTGGTTAATCTTTATAGAAGTAGATTGCCCAGTCTTCTTCCATAGAGTGGCTGGTGGGTTTGAACTGCCAACCTTCTGGTTAGCAGTCAAATGCTTTAGGCACTATGCTACCAGGGTTCCTTACATACAATACAATCTGTATTTAGCTGAAATTGTATAATTATAAAATATTGCTGGTAGTTGAACTTTTTATTACCATGAAATGTTCTTCTTTAACTTAGTAATAATGTATTTTACCTTAAAGTCTAATACGTAATATTGATATACAACTTTTGATTAGCTACTGTTTGCATGATATAATTTTTTTCATCCTTTAAATTTACATATTTTTGTGCCCTTATATTTAAGGTATGCTTCTTTGAAAGTGCTTGTATTGTAATTAAAGTTTTATCTCACTTCCATTTAATGCAGTTGTTGCTATGTTTTAAGTTTGTATTCGCCATCTTATTCTATTTTCTAGCCCTCTCCCCCAATTCTTATATAATTTTCTCTCATTTCTTTCTTTTGAATTAATGAAGTATGTGTTTTTATTCTACTTCCCCAAACACACATTAGTTATATGTGTGTGTATAATATATGTGTATATATATATTTACTATTCTTTTAGTGTTATTGTGGACAAATAACATACACCCTTAACTAATATACATCAGTATTTCTGCTCCTTCCAGTTCACGTCCTCATGGCTTTTGTCATGCATTTCAGTTTCAATTTATCTGAAACCCTACATGACATTACTATTATTATTATTTTATACAATCAGGCATCATTTATATTTACTCATTTGTTTATTTCAGTACTCTTACTTCCTGTGTTTCTTGTTTTCATCTGAGATATTTGCATTTTTCCTAAAGAACTTCTTTTAGTATTGTTTTGTACTTGTTTTTTTTTTTTGTTGCCAACTCTGCAAATGTCTTTATTTCACCTTCCTTCCTAATATAATTATAAAAGGTATATTCTTGCAGTGCTTGAAGTATATCATTACATTGTCTTCTGACTTCCATGATTCCTTTAAAAGAAAAGCTGACAGCCTTCTTTTTGCTCATTGTCAGTATTGTTTCTTTATGCTTTGCTTGGTTTCAATTTTTCATTTTTCTTACTGTGGTTGTCAGAAATTTTTATTGTAATATGCCTAAATATGATTTTCTTTATATTTACTCTTTTACAGTTTGAAAGTTTCTTGAATCTATGCCTTGATGTATTCCATCAGTTAGAGAAATTCCTGGCCTACTTTTTTTCAAATTTTGCTTTTGCTTCATTCTTTCTTCCTGTTGTAAGACTCCAATTATACTTATATTAGACCTTAGAGCTTTTATGTTGCCCTTTACATCTCTTGTGTTCTTTCCTGTATTTCCCTACTCTATATACTTGCCATGTTTCAGCCTAGATACTTAGTGACCTATCTTCCAATTCCAGGTGCTCTGGTTGCACTTTGGTTAAAGCATTGGGCTGCTAACCAAAAGTTTGGCAATTGAAACCCATCAGCCTCTCAGCATGAGAAAGGTGAGGCAGTCTGCTTCCATCAAGATTTATAGCCTTAGAAAATCCATGCGGCAGTTCTACTCTAACCTATAGGGTTGGTATGAATTGGAATTAACTCAGTGGCAGTGGGTTTGCTTTGTTATCTCTTCCAGTTCACTTATCCATTTTTGATGACTTGTCTACTCTGTTAAATACATTTACTTACTCTGTTAAATACATTTACTTAGTTTTTCATTTCAAGTTTTTTTTTCATTTTTTCTCTTTTAAGTTTTCTTATTTTTAACAAGTACTTTCTATGTGAAGTTCACATTCACTTTATGAATTTTTTGAACATCTAAAATAAAATTATTTTAAAGTTTGATAGCTACAGTCATTGGGTTTTGTGGGTCTTTTTTTGTTTTCAATTTTTTTCTTCTTATGCTAGGAGATCAAAATCTAGGTATATGAAATATTGTATAAGCTATGGTTGGTATCATTCTTCAGAGAGTGTCTACTCTACCATTTGGTAGGTAGATAGAGTGAGGAAAAGTTACCTTCATCCAAATCAATAGCTGAGATATCTCAAGGATGGGTTGATTGTCTACCTTTAGTTTGCCCCACTTGTATCTAGCCCTTCATAAGTTCCAACTACATTCTGGCATATTTACTAAGGATTCTTCTTCAGCATTTCTCAATTCCAGTTTTTCTTTTCTCTGGACCATGAGAGAACAGAAAGCTTTCCTCTTCCTTACAGTGGTTGTCTGTTTAAAGTCTTAGCCTTTTGTCTTATGCAGCTTAAGAATTAAGTTTGCTTCTCTCTACTTTCTTCTGCTTCAAGTTCCTGGCATCTTACATTCCCCAAACCCAGAGTCTCTCTAGTCCTAGAAGATTGCCAAAATCTCTCTTGGTATCTCTTCTGAGCTTTGGCCTTTTTAAGAGTGTTAATTTTCTCATGGGAGCTCTGGTAGCATAGTGCCTAAGGCACTTGACTGCTAACCAGAAGGCTGGTGGTTCAAACCCACCAGCCACTCCTCGGAAGGAAGGTTGGGCAATCCTACTTCCGTAGTGATACTGCCTCGGAAACCCAAGGAAGGGTCGCTATGAGTCGGGGCCGACTGGACGGCAAATAACAACAACAACAACAACAACAATTTTCTCATGCTGCTAATAAATGGCAAATGCCCTCAGGGAAAAAGTGAATCCTAAACTATCATCTACCCCCTCTGCTCTACTCTTCTGAGATTTTGGTCCTGGAAGTCTGACATACTTCAGTAGTTCCTCAGTTCTTTAAAGAGATTTTTTAAATTTTGTCTTTAAAAGCCTATCTATTCTCAGCAGAAGTCAAAAAATTATTTACTGACTATCTTCTGTGTACTCTGGTGGCATAGCGCCTAAGGCATTTGACTGCTAACCAGAAGGCTGGCAGTTCAAACGCACCACCCACTCCTTGGAAGGAAGATTGGACAATCTACTTCCATAGAGATACCGCCTCGGGAACCCAAGGAGGGGTTGCTAAGACTCGGGACCGACCTGACGACATTGAGTTTGGTTTTATTTTATTTTATTTTTTGACCAGAAATAATGCTAACTGCTGTTATTACAGTGGTAAGGTGTTTTCAAAAAACATCCAAAACATGTATTATGTATGTGTTTATATAGTTTTGTCACGTTCCTTGACTCAAGGGGCTAATGTTTTGCTACTTACAATGGACAAAATAATATGTAAGCAAGTAAGTTGGTAGTGATTATGTTAGAGGTATATAAAGTTTACTGTAGGAGCTCAGAGGAGCAGAGCACTTATCCTGGCTTATAGGTGGGAGTAGGGAAGTTTAATCAGGAATGCTTCCTAGAGGAGGTATGACCCTAGAAAGTAATTTCCAAGATTGAGAAAGAGCTAGTCAGGCTTAACTCATCATCTACTTGACTCAATAGAACTTCTAAGTATTTCCTATTAATACTGAAATTTATTTCTTACTGCTAATATAAATTGCTAATGAATGTGAAGCTTATTAAAAATCTGTTTTATGAATGCAAAAGTTAGTCTTAAAATTTTAACCATGGCAATTGATTTCTCCGTAGGTGTTCAAAGCAATGAATATCCCACAAATCAGAAATCCTTCTCTGCCTCCTCCAGAAAAAATGCCTGAAGCCTATTCTGCAAAGATTGCTCTTTTTGGTGCTGGGCCTGCAAGTATAAGTTGTGCTTCCTTTTTGGCTCGATTAGGCTACTCTGACATCACTATATTTGAAAAACAAGAATATGTTGGTGGATTAAGGTAATTCCTACATTTATTATATGTTTATAGTCACAAAAATGATGGGGTAAAACAATTATGAATATTATTAGTTCATAATTATATAGAAACTTTAAGCACACAGATGGTATTTTAAATGTTCTCTTTCCAAATGTTCAAATTTTGATTACATTTCTCACTTTAACATTTGCTGTTGGCATCGAGAAATATTTATTTAAAAAATTTTTCTAATTCTGTGTACCTGATGTGAATCTCAGCAAAATATTTTATGGATACTAATCACAAGAAAGATTGTTTTATCCCTGTGAATCTTTCCTTTAATGAAGATAAATCTGAAAGTCATGGAAATTAGAGATAGGGAGAAGGTAGTTCCATAGAATATTAGACTACTCATTTTTTTTATGTACATAGTTCCTGCTCACATATTTTCAGTTTATAATCTATCTCTTGAGTCTTGCATGTGATTACAATTTCATCATAGTCTACTGAATATATTCTGTTCTAATATATGTTTATGAAGTCTTTGTCCCATTAATACCTTATTAATATTTGATATTAGTCAGTGTCATTATTTTAAGCCAGGATTCAGTCACATACTCATTTTATTTACACAGTAATTCATATATTGAAATGGAAAATATTCACTTTGCATCAGTGACTTCCACATATTCAAACCAAGCTTAGCAAAGAGATGGAGTTTGCTTCATTTAAAATAAGTGGGACTTGGTGGCAATGAAGAAGAGGAATACATAGAGAGGTACATGGGAGGTAAAGAGAACAAAGATGAACTCTTGCACATACAGTACTGCGTTGTCAATGAGAGCAAACACTGATCTATTGTCAAAGATGGGTGGACAGGCTGAACTGTTAGGTGTGTCTAGGCAAGGGCGAGGGTGCCCATGATCATGTATAGGATTGGCAGACAATGTTTTCACAAGTGTATTTGTAAAGGGACAAGGTTGTAGTCATTTCTTGGCCACAGCCAGCTACCCAGAAGGAGTAACTGGACCTGTGGGCTTGCAACCATGGTCACAGGGGACATCAAGTTCAATTGGCATAATATACTACACAAAAAACATTCATTGTTCCATATCCTACTTTGGTGAGTAGCGACTGGGATCTTAAAAGCTTGCAAGGAACCATCTAGATGTGACAATGGGTCACATTGTCCTCATCCAGAGCAAAGAAGAATTAAAGAAACCACAGACACATGGAAACAATTTGTCCAAGGGATTAGTACACCATGTGATCCTCAGCCTATACAACTATGAGACCAGAAGAACTAGATGGTGCCTGGCTACCACTGTCAACCATTCAGAGGATCTGTGTAGGAGATCCTAGATAGAGTGGGAGAACAATGTGGAACAAAACGAAAAATCATTTGAAAAAAAAAAAAAGGACCAGGTTTGCTAGTCCTTAGATAGAGCCCGGTGGAACACCTGAGACTATTGACCCTAGCTGCCCCTCAGGACTGGAATTGAACCCACTCCTGTGGCTTCCAGCCAAACAGAAGACAGGCATATAAGCTAAACATTTACTTTAGGTAGATGCACTCCCTGGGGAGATCAATCACGGGAGAATAGAAGGGCTATGTATGCACAGGGAGGCAGCTCAGGGCACAGGAGTGCATGGAAGGGAAGGACACAGGGAAGAGGTAAATATTGGGAGGAAGTGGGAGGGGAGCTTTTGCATTGTGGGAAATTGCAGTCAATGTCATGAGACAAAGTATATGTAAGCTGCTGTATGGAAAATGAATTTGCTCAGTAAACTTTTCACCCAAACCACAATTAAAAAAAAAAAAAAAAAAGTGGGACTCTAAAGTGGATGCATAAGGAATTTCTGATCACAGAGAAATAAAACTTACTACAAATAGAGAGTGGATATTGATTTTGCTTAAAGCATTTGATGTAAAAATAAATTATTTGGGTTATTAATATTGCTCAAATTTATTATTTTCCCTTAATGTGTCATCTTGTATCAGAAAAAAGTAATGTACAACCATTTGGCCCACCTGTTGCTATTTAAATTTAAACTTTTGATGCCTACTGAACCATTCTTTATACAATATATTCATCATATTTAGTCATTACAGAATAAATTTAGTGAATCTGTGACTGTAATTTGTGCTTACATTTTTTTAGCACCTCCAAATGTGTAGTAATAAATGTATAAATTTAATACTGGTCAAATGAAAATATGCCAAACCCAAAATAAACTATCATTAATATAAAACTTGATTTATAGTTTAATAGAGTCATCAGACAAAAAATGTCACACAGGAGGAAGACTCCTTAGAAAAGATATGAAGAGTAAATAAACTGAAAAATAAATGAACTGATTGTCAAGAATTAATTATTTTTCTGTATTGATAGTTTACTACAGTGAGTTTTCATGGATTACACATATTTCATAAAATTTTTTTTCCTGGAAAATAAAATAACAAATACGTTATTTAGCTGGGAGGATTTAGACTATCTTTTTTAATGGTGTTTTATCCCAGCTTTATTAATTGGAAAAACATAATCTATTAACAACATATGTATAAGCATTGTACAGTTTTCTTCAATTATACACACCAGTGAATATGTGAGCTAATTTAAAAAGTATGAACTTAATTGTTGTGTACCCTGGAAAAATAGGGGGGGGGGCAGAGAAGTCTTTGCCCCTTAATCGCCTTTTCACAAGAAGACTAAAATGCAAACAGCCCTTTTTGGGAATTATTTTGTGCTGACAATTTTGGTAAAAGATGATTATGATTGTTGGCATCTCTATCTCTTTTTAACCTCTAGTGCAAAGTAGACATTTCTAAATCATATAAATTGGCACTAAACTTGTGTCTTCATATATTACTGAAAATTTTCTAATGGAACAGATAATACCTGGGTTAATGACCAAACTTTTGTTTTAAACAAATTTATCTTATTTATTATTTATTCTGCTTATTTTCTTTGCTTTGACATTGGTTCTTCCCAGTGTCTAGGGACAATAAACAGTGTTTAATCAATCTCATTTGGACTGTTCCATGGCAGAGGCATTCTGTGTCACTATTATAGGATTATAAAAACAGATAATGGAATTTAACCAGAATTTCAGTCACTATGTTTTCCTGTTAATTTATTTTTTTTACTTACAGATGCCTCTCATTCGCTTGTATCTCCAGAGTAGCTAAAAAGATTAAATTAGCTTTGTATTTGAAATCAATTGCTTACAGCAGTAATGTCGAATTTTATCTTTCCTTCTTCTTGCATCCATAAAGATTCTTTTATCCCAGGTGAATTAGTATAATAAACACTTAAAACAGAAAAAGAAAAAATCACTAGAGTTTTTAAAAGATACCCAGAATTTAATCCCTATTGTATTGAATACAATTATTTTTCATGCTGCAACAAATTCATAAAATAATAAGTTTTTTTTCCATCTACTGTGGTTTCTTTTTCAGTACTTGAGTTTAAAATAGTTAAAAAGGGCTTGGAATTATAATAAGAAAAATAAGGATAGTGTTAGATATGAATGCATACATACATATTTTATAATTTTGTTTTTCTTATAAAAATTAATAGATATGAATTATGACACATTTATTAATTAAGATAGGGCAATATATCCTTTAACAATTACAATGTTACAGTTTTTTCAGTATGTGTATTATATTTTATGTTTATAGGATATAAAATATATTGATAAGATAAAGGGAAATGAGGTCCAGTTAAAACAGTTGTAGCAATAGGAAATATTTTGAGAATGTATGTGATCCAACACGCACACTCACAAAACCTGATATCTTTAAAATAATGAATGAAAGCAAAGCTATATCAAAGTATGAGAATTGGGGTTTGAGAAAAGTGAGAAGAAGTGTTATTAGTAAATTCCGCTATCATGCAAGAAACATGGACATACAAGGAAGAAAGTTTTTTTTTTTGTTATGTGATCTGCAATCCACTGACTATACTGAAGGATTTTTAGTTGCCACTAAGAAAAATTTATTATAAAACCTTAGATTTTTATAACAGCACAGATGGAACAAGAAGAAAAATGCTTTCATAAGCAAAATAACCTTGGAAAGTGATCATTCCTATTAAATTCCACCTTATGTCTTTTTATCCATTTTCTCATCAAATAATGTTGAGAGGTAATCTCATTTACGTTCAGGATTTAATTTCACCTCCCCACTAACCATTTTTAAAAAATGTTATCTGTTGAATTTTCTCTGTCCTGAGCAAAAGACTCACACATACAAACTCTAGGTTTCTTTTCTTCATAAACTTCACAACACCAATGTTTCTTTTCTTTCTAGATTTCCTATTTTAAGTAATGGAATCACCCAGAAATATGAAAATTATCTACTATTCTCTCAATTTCCTGGTCATTATATTTTATGAATACTTTTTAAAATGTCTCCTCACCCCTCCACCTCCAATGTCCTTAACATCTCTATTCTTACAATGCTGCAGTAGCCTCCAAATGCTTCTCTTGGCTTCCTGAGTTGTCTTTTTCAGATCCATTTACCTTGAAGTTTTTCAATCTGATAATATAACTCTCTTGCTCAAAATCTTTGAATCTCTCCCCATAGTTTAAAAGATAAAAGATCTATCCTGGCAAAAGAGGCTACCATAACCTAACATCTACCTACCTTTTCTTTTTCCTTCATCCCTTGCTTAAATATTTATCAATCACCTAGTATGTGTACTTGTTTTTATTTTGGATAGTAGAGCTACAGCAGGGAACAGATCAAGGTGCATGTAAGGGGCTTACATTCTAATGGTGGGGAGACAGACTATAAACCAAGAAATAAATAGAAAAAAAATGTTAAGTAATGATAAGTGAAACAAAGAGTTTTCAAAAATGTTGAGTGGCATACCTAGTGTATTTGATGCCTGGAGTGGATACTACTTGTCCTCTAGTCTAGGCAATCTACTTCTATAAAGATTTACTGCCTCAAAACCAAAAGGGGGTCTCTATGAGTTGGAATCAACTTGATGGCAGCAAGTTTGTTTTTTTTTTTTTTTTTTTTTTTTTTGCTTTGGAGTCTATACTATGAAATTATTTTCAGAGAGAATCATGCAATATGAAAAATAGTTTTAATTCATTCTTATGAAACAAAAAAATTGACAACTAAAATGAAAGTAATTTCAATATTAAGGGTGTTCTTCGCTTTGTCACTAGTTGAAATTTTAAACACAAATGAAAACTCCATGTGGTGTTTCACAATGACAGAATTGAAATAAATAATTTCATCTCATGTGGTATCATTTTATCAATTCCAAATCAGGTATTTAAACATTGGAATCGTATTATAGGGATGGAGACATGTATTGGTGCAAGGAGTTGGAGTGAGAAATGCCTGTACTGAATCAGTGTATATTAGAGATCAGTGCTTCACTGAAATTCTCAAGATTAACTTTCATTTAGAACTCAATCTTTACTATATAATGGGTAATAAAAATCACCTCATTTGCATTCAAAACCTGGACATTGAATAAGGAAGACCAAAAAAAATTGATACCTTAAAATTATGGTGTTGGTGATGAATATTGAATATACCCTGGAAGGACATCTTGGTGAAGGACACCATGCTTGGTTGAGGGTCAATGAAAACAAGGAAGATCCTCAAGGGATTGACACAGTGGACACAACAGTGGGCTTAAATTTAGCACCGATTGTGAGGATGGCACAGGACCAGGCTGTGTTTCATTCTGTTGTATATATAATTACTATGAATTGGAACTGTCCCAACAATGGTACCTAACAAGAACAATGGCAGTAAAAAATGAGATAATTTCAACCTCCCATAAACATACCTATATATTACATTACTATAGTTTATTATGTATACTATATATTGTTGTACCATGTGTACAACAATGAGCTGGTGTGCCATGAACTATCAGAAAAGTGAAGAAATCTCTCTTGGTGGAAATACAATGAGAATGACCAGACGTCATCTCTCATACTTTGGTCATGTTGTCAGAATGGACCAGTCATTGAAGCAGGATATCATGCTGGGTAAAGTGAAAAAGATGAACACCCTCAACAAGATGGATTGACACAGTGGCTGTGATAATGGGCTCAAGTATGGAAGTGATTCCGAGAATGGCACAGGACTGGGCAGGTTTCATTCTTTTGTACATAGTGTTGCTATGAGCTGAAACTGATTCAACGGCCCCTAACAATGGCAATGGCAACATATATTGCTGAGAAAATATCTGAGAAGCTGGTCCATATGAAGAAGAGTATGGGGTCAGGATTGGAGGAAGATTCATTAACAACCTGTGATATGCACATGACACAATCTTCCTTACTGAAAGGAAAAAAGACTTATTGATGAAGACCAAAAATCAACAGTGCTTTGTATAATGGACACTTCTATGTAAAGATAACGAAAATCTTCACAACTGGTCCAATAAGCAACATCACAATAAATGGATAAAAGATTGAAGTTGTCAGGGATTTCATTTTGCTTCAGTCTACAATCAGTGCCCATGGAATCAGCAGTCAAAAAACCAGACGTCATATTGCACTGGGCAAATCTGCTGCAAAAGATTCTATTTAACTGTTAAAGAACAAAGATGTCACTTTGAAGACTAAGGTGTGCCTGACCTAAGCCATGGTATTTTCAATCGCCTCATATGTATGTGAAAGCTGTACAATGAATAGGGAATACTGAAGAAAAATAGATGCATTTGAATTGTAGTGATGGTGAAGAATATTGAAAATACCATGGACTACCAGAAGAATGAACAAATCTGTCTTGAAAGATGTACAAGTCTATTGGTGTCAGAACGTTCCTTAGAAGTATGGATGGCATGATTTTGTTTCACATATTTTGGACATGTCAGAAGACACCAGTCCCTAGAGAAAGATGCCATGCTTGGAAAAGTAGAGGGTCAGCAAGAAAGAAGACTTTCAATGAGATAGATTGACATAGTAGTATAACGATGGGCCCAAGGACAGCAATGATTCTGTGGATGGCAGAGGACCAGACAGTGTTTCATTCTGTCATACATAGGGTTGCTATGAGTTGGACCTGACTAAATGTCACCTAACAACAACAACAAGAACATTTGTTCTCCATTGATACTTATTTCCACATCAATTTCTACTTTAACTTTTGTTATTGTTATACTTTGCCACTCATTTGGCTCCACTCATGTCGAACCTACATATGAAAGAAATGTTGCTCATGTTGTTATTTTTCCATATAACTGAAGATTTTGATGTCCTCAGGCCCACAGGATGCGATATGCAAAATACCCTTAGAAGAGATATTTATTCCTTTAATACTGATCAATAAATACATGTTGTGTCTTTTAAGATACGTCTTTTTTTTCTCAAATGCTTATTTCTTTTTGTTTTTAGTACTTCTGAAATCCCTCAGTTCCGGTTGCCTTATGATGTTGTGAATTTTGAGATTGAGCTTATGAAGGACCTTGGTGTAAAGGTAAATGTTGCTCAAAGAGAAAAAGAGTAAGCTCTACATTAAAGATTAACAGCAAAATGTCACGCATTTTAAGAAAGAACAATTAAAAGCTACACCAGGCAGAAGCAGAAAGATGCTTCCCCTTGCTTAGGGCATTTGTCTGTCTACTGTCTGAATGCCACTAGCCTGGAAAAGGGCAATCAATAGTTCTCATCTGGCACGCCTGCCTGTGATTAATTGTCTGTAAGAAACAAATTCCTAAATTGCTTTAGGGGTTCAGTGCAGCTAATAGAAGAATTTTGTATTTTTAATCACGTTTTCAAGCAAGTTGTATGCACTCAGAAACCTTCACATTTCACAGTTTGGAGTGTAACTTCTTACAGAGGTTTGTTTTATTATATGCATCATATTAGTAGTAGTAATATGATAAGCCTTTCTCAGCATAAGCACTAAGTGAGTGGGGTCAAATACAATAGCTTTATATTAGTCAATGCTTTGTGAACTAAATATTGTGTTGTTCTTTTAATGATAGTTGAAAAAGGCGATTCATTGTGCTTTTTTAATATACAGGTGTACATTGGAGATATTGTAGATTCAGTTCTAGACCATTGCAATAAAACCAATTTCGCAATAAAGCAAGTCACACTCACTTTGTTTTCCCAGTGCATTTAAAAGTTGCATACTTCACTCTACTGTAGTTTATTAATTATGCAATAGCATTATGAAACAGTTTGAAATATTGTGAGAATGATGAAAATGTGACACAGAGATATGAAGTGAGCACATGCTGTTGGAAAAATGTCAGTGATAGACTTGCTTGACACAGCGTTGCCACAAACCTTTAATTTGAAAAAAAAAAAATATCTGCTAAGTGCAATAAAGCAAAGCACAGCAAAATGAGGTATGCCTGTATGACTTTAGATGCTGGTATTCTTTTCAGGTAATTAAGAATATTATACTCTGGTGCTTCACGTGGACATGTTGTTATTGTTGTTTCAAGAATGCTAGTTTTTCACACAGATAAAGTCAGTCCCTGGGTTGTTGTTGTTGTTAAGTGCCGTCGAGTTGTTTCCGACTCATAGCGACCCCATGCACAGCAGAACGAAACACTGCCCTATCCCGCGCCAGCCCCACAATCCCTGCTATACTTCAGCTCATCATTGCAGCCACCGTATCAATCCATCTCATTGAAGGCCTCCCCCTCTTTCGTCGAC